TTCATCAGTCATTTAATCATGGTCAAATTGACATAATCAAAGACAAGAAACTATACATACCATTTGACTTTTGTCATTATCAGTCAGTATTGTCTGCCGATTTCATTATATACTAATTTATAATATGATCTGTATGCTTTTTGACTCACGATTGTATAGATATCTGACGGTTATCTAAAATGACAATAACAACAAACGACCAAATAGAATAACAAAATAGTTTAAAACAAAATGAACATCTACATTGATCTGACAGAATATATAATAATATAGATGGCGAAACATCATGAGAGAAAGTATGTCGATGGTTTGCAGATGAATGGCATCTCAAATGCAAAGTGATCGTCTTTATATACGGTGCTTAACGAGTGGAAGAATTTTTTTTTCACTAATAAAGCTATTCATAGTATGAGAAAGCTTATAACAACTCAATGAATCTTCCAAATGATGTAACATGTATCAATCTATGATGCTTCTTCTTTTTTACTTCATCATCATCATCATCTTCTTCTTCTTCTCCTTTTATTTCATCTTTGTCTCGTCCCTTTTTCTATTCTATAATAATAAAGTATTATGTTAACTATAAAAATAAACGATGAATTCTGATATATACATAAATCTAAGTGATTTTTAACTAACGTTAATAATCATACGAAAGGAAGAAATTTACTATCAATATTACATCCATCCTAACAATATGAGCAAAGGACATTGTGTTCGCCTATCATACAACTATGAAGAAAAAAAAGAGAAAGTATAGCATATCTTTACTATAGACGTTATTTTCTTTAGCTACAATATTGATCATAAATAATAGCTAAAAATCGAACGCTTTCTTTCACTCTCTCAGTCTCTCTGTCTGTCTGTCTCGCTTTCTCGTTTTCTCTTCCTCACTTTGGTGTCGTTCAAGTGGTTTGCTTATGAATTGCTCATGCACGCATAGATATATAAATCGATATATATATATATATAAATATATTTTTTTTAAGGCAGTTATGATTGCCACATCATTTTTTTCTCCTTTTCCTGTATAGTTGAACGCACATAAATGAGAACACTAAAGTAGTATTAGTAACAGTAACAGTCAAAGCAGCTGTTATAGTGAACGAAAAGAAAAATAATCACATTCTCTTTTTATAATATATAAAAAAATTTTTGCTTCTTTTATAGCGGTCTTAGTACTAGTAGTGAAGCAGGAAGTAAGCATCCCGTCGTCATTCTTCGACATATCATTTGAATTAGATACTTACAGTTTGCATGATGTCATTGTGATTGTATGTGTGAGAGAACCCTTTCTCTGCCTAGCATCGTAGAAAACAAATGTTCGATCATTGCGCTAACGATAGAAAAAGAAGAAGACACGCGCATTAGTACTCAAACAGATCCGCCTTTTACTTGTTTCGCTTTTGAGAAAAGAGAAGAGAGTAATGCAAGGCGAGAGCATATAACAACTGTGAGTGTTTCATGTTGATTGTATTATTTGCACCACCAGCGAGTTGCAATACTTGTTGTTGAAGCAGTAAGGGTTTCACATTATTAAATGACGACTACCATCCTTATTCTACTATATACTACCAAATCCGTTGGGAATTATTGTCTTCCTTCGTTTCTTTTGGAGAATATAGGGAAGAGTGAGAAAAAATCACAACAAACAATCATAACTGTCAGATCGCTAAGTAAAAGAAATTGAGAAGAAGAGAAAACATCATGAAAAGTGGCAAAAGAAAATCGAATACTTCTGATCACTCACACATATATATATATATCCATCTATGAGCGCACTAGAAAAATCTTAGTTCTATTTGAAGAACATCATCAACTCCGACAACTAAAAGAGAAGAAAAAATGATATGATCAAATGCTATAAGATATAGAAAGTTTACAAGCACAAAATGTAATCAACTATAGAACCTTTTTTTTTCTTCTTTGAAAGAGTTATTTCTTACTTAATGGAAAAGAAATAGTTTCAATGATGAAAGTGTGATGACACAATTAAGATGGATACAATTTGAATTTTAAAAAAGCTTTAAAAGTATTAATAATGATAATATTTTAGATAATGAATTTCTTAATAGAAAAGAAAGAAGAAGAATTTTTTCTCCGTTTTATAACAATACATAAACCAAAGATGATTGGCATTTTCTGATAAATCCGAACGATGATAAAAGAGGCAGATGATGATACACGATATTCCCAGACGAACAACTATCATTCTCAAGGCAAACTGACTATAAATGTCGATTTATATTGACACAGCATGCCAATACATAATATCGTTTCTACTTAGTTATCATCTTTAGATGTCGCTTATGCCTTGAAGTATATCTTAAACTATTATCAGAATTTATTATCTTTATCATAACGAAAGATATTCCATTAGAAGAAAAAAACAGGTCCTATTAACTATAATCTTAATACATATTTATAGGAATATTACATGTATGTATATGTATATGCATGTTATTTTCTTACGATAAAAATATATGAATATTACTAAATTAATAAAAAAAAAATAACTGATTGAAGTCTAGATCACTTATTTAATCAATATACTGAACGATTGCTTCGATTCTTACACGAACATAAACGATTAATCAACTATATATCAATTTCTTGAACTATCTTTATTCATGATTTGTTTGTATGAATATCAATCTTACTCGTTCAATCACATATAGATACAACAACAACACATACTATATAATAGACATGCCGACACAATTTCCATTCTCTCTAACCCCAGACGCGATCCCAATAGTAGTTCATCATCAATAAACATCGAGAGAGCATGAGTGAGTGAGTGAGAGGAAATCAAATATTTGTCGAGAATAAATATGACCACATATGTGATCGAAGAATCTTTCTTTCGCTTTTTATGATGTGCATTTAGTTGTATATAATATGCTGATGTCAATGAACAAATTGTAACTAACCGTAGAAGAGATTGACCAATATCTTGCATAAAAGAAGTAGTAAAAACAAAGAAACTTAACAGTTCTAGCATGTGATAGGCAAATGTGACATACGATTTGTTGTCATCATCACTTTAATGTTCATATAACGAACGATAAGTATACATACATATCTATATATATATATAGTAAAGAAAAAGCAATCGGGTAGAGACTAAAAGATCAATGACTATACACTCGGTAAAAATAGCGAAAAAATACGAATAAAAATAATGCTTTTTATACATCAATTGTAGTTGATTTTTAATCAAAATGGATTGATTGTTAATGGAAAAGTTATTTTTGAAGAGTTTTTTCCAACATTTTTAATACCCTTTTAGTTCGGTTGCTTTTAATACTGATGATTAAACCTCAATGACAGGAAATGACGAACTCACCATCTTCGCTCGTGTACCCTACTCTCATATTACATACACAACGGTGCATGCATGCTTCTATACACACATACATGCATGCATATATATAGGTAAAAGCCGATTGTAAATTAGAAATAGACTTAAATGGTTGTCTCTACTAGAGAGAAAAAGAGCAGATGTAAATGATTAAGATGAACATTGAGAAAATAATCCGACCTACCTAATAGATTAATCAACTAGTATGTAAGATTGTGAATCAATCAATATATATTCATAGACCACTAAAAATCGTAGTAATTCTACTTGTACTAGTTAGAATATCGATACTTGATTGGCAGCACAATGAAAAGAAATGTAGCGGGCCAAATAATAGAAGAAAAAAAAGATAGACAAGAAGAAAAAAGAAAGTATTGTGGGGATGGCAGAAGGATGATCAGAAATCATTTTTTCTGTTCTCTTTTGGCAAAGTTCATCGCCATCAACCACACAGTTAGTTGGTATGTCATGAATCTTACACAAAGTAAAAGAGAAGAGGAGAGAGAGAGAGGGAGAGAGAGAAGAAGAAGAAGAAGAAGAAGAGAAAGAAACAGAGATGACAAGGTGTTTTCTTTCAGTCTTTTGTATGCATACATTTCTTTGCGTCTTTTTGTTCCAGAACACGCATATCATCAACAACAACAAACACTGATAGTCTGTCTATAAGCCAATATAGATATAGAGAAAGGAAAATCATGGTATAACGTGTGAGTAACAACGACATCATTACTCTTCGCTGTTACTTTCTCGCATCATACCAAACAATCGACGTTCGATTAATATGGGAGATAGATAACTGCTGTTACTATTATTATTACGTATACTATGATTTGGTCTTTTCATCTTATTATCTGTATCATATATGCATACACTATTGAATCTATCGTATCTATGCATATTACTCACTTAACAGATATATAAACAAGAAAATGAGAAAGTAGATGAGTTAATGTTTCTTTCTAATTTTTTTATCGTCGTTTTCAGTATCTATTTAAATGAAGATAATGATCCTTTTTTCTTGCATCGGTTTCTTCGTCTGAAAATATATTCTCATCAATAATGCTCTAGGCTAGTATTTAGTATCTAACATGTCAGTATATAGTGCAATTAATCGAAAGACATCAGCAAAAAGACGACAAAAAAAGGAAGCACGAGAGAGATAAAGAGGAACTAAATCGAAACGAATCGATTTAGGCAAAACAGAAAGTGATGATTCTTTTTGCTCGTCGTTCTCACTCCCGTATGTAAATAGAAATCAGTGAAAATGATTGTTTCCAAAAAAAGAAGAGGAGGAGGAGGACAGACGCTAGCAACACATAAGAGCATAGGGAAATAGACGAGATGGAACACAAGAAACGATGAGAACTTAATGTTGTCGTCTGCATATTTGATTGAGCTCTATTGCTTCTTCAAATTGGTTCTTTCTTTCTTTTTCTTTTTTTTATTCTTTGAGCGATCAATAAACGAAAGTAATTGTGATGATCAAGTGTAAAAAGAAATGAGAAAGAGAGACAATAGGAAAAAAACTTGTTACACCTGTTAATAACATTTAGAATATGCAATAATACAAGTAACAGACAATAGTGAGAATGAGAAGAAAAAAAATATGAGAAATTTGTTAAATATTGATGATTGATCATTCCAGTTCGTTATCGTTGGGTGTTTCTGAATAGAGCATTTCTCCCACATTTAAATTGAATGTTTCACCATTAAGAAATCTACAAAAACAAGAATATTGTAATATATATATATATATCATTGATAATTTAATCTCATACGCTTCATCCTGGTTAACATTTGATATATTAGGCGATTGTCGTGAAAGCCGTGATCTAATTCGATCTTCTTTCAATCTTGGCATCATACTACAACTAGGAGACCATGAAATATAATTAATACTCTTGTAATAATCGAGAAATGTACGAGCCAAATTTCTTCCAAGTAGTTGATCTATAATAAGATATTAAAAACTAGAAAATTTTCTAAATTTTAATTTAATCTCTCTTTTTTTTCTCATACAACAAAGTTCTTTAATTAAGTTTTATCCTGAAGCAAAATAATTTTCAAAGAATCAACGTTTAAAGATAATTATATTGGAATCTATTCAGTCAATTTGTCTCTTTTTTTTCATAGAGAAAAAAACCAATAAACTCTATATACGATATAATATTTCCACTTAAGTTAGAATTTATAAGTTCTCTTGAAACAAAAAAAGAAAGCGATCAATTGATATACTATTATATACGAATGAATAAAAAAGAAAAAGAAAATAGTTTTACACAAAAATTCATTAGATTTTTTATTACATACATAAGTCTTCTGTATATGGTATAGATTGAGAATTGGATGATGTTTGATATGAAAAAAATGAAACTTCTAATGTATAACAATGAGTACTTTCTTGTAAACAACCACCAAGTGTTCTTCAAAAAAAAACAAAATCAAATATTTTCTATTACTTTTCATTGATTTACCGTCGTCCTGTTCCAGCTTTCATTGCATCACGATTGAATGCTGTATTATTTATTGAAAAATCTTCCGCATTTCGTGATAATAAACGTGGAAAAAAATTATGTTTTTCAAAACGATTTGCATCTTCATAAACATTTCCATACATAAAACCATTCATCATTGTTGAATGTGCATGAATATCAATAAAAAAATCTAATTCAATATCCTAAAATAAAAGAAAAACATTTTTGTTTTAATTTATTTATAAAAATTAGTTTTTTGACAAACAGCATCTTCATTTAATTTCATAATATGTGTTTTAATTCCATAGATTTCGGGATGTGCCCAATGTGATGGATCATTCCAAACACGATTAAGATCAAAACCAAGTAATGAACATCTAGATTAAAAGATGATTAAATATGACGTAAATAAATAAGTCAAAATCTTACCGTTGATTGCCGAGAAAAACTCCATCAGGATTAAGCATAGGAACGATATAAAAAACAATATTATCACGAAGTAATTGCGCTATTGGATTATCACTTATTAAAAATTCAATAAAACCTTGACAAACATAAGACGATGGAGTTTCACCAGGATGTACACGGGCTGTTATAATAACAACTTTTTTTCTTTGTCCTTTACTTAATAACGCTGGATTTGCTATAGTTAATAGATCAAGTCGACGTTTTTGCTTTAATAAAAAAAAAATATTAAATCAATGTAAAAATTTTGTTGTATAGAAAAATAAACTTACCACACTATAAACTAACGGTCGACGTTGAACATAATCTAATTGACGTTGTTCAATATTATCAAGATAATTTTGAAGTTTTGTATATGTATATGGAAATGAATATGCAAATTGATAGACATCATCTTCGCGATCAAAACAAAATGTAAATGACATAACATAATTTTTTCTATGATCAGGACAACGATAATAAAATACATTTCGAGTGGGCAAACGTTGCCTTTTAATATCGAATAATAAGTTGTTTTTTAATATTTAACAAAAAAATAACATACTTACCATCGTTTACGACTAGTTGATTTAACTAATGGTGTCATACCATCACGATATAAAGATTTCGCTTTCGAAAAATTTACAATATGAAAGATGACTCTCTAGTAACACGAAAAAAAAATATTAAATATTGAATTTTATTAGAACTGAGAAAAGTTTGTAACTCAGTATTGACAATCTATACATTCTATTTAAAAGTCATCTTTCTTTAACCCCTCGTGATTGTTCCGGGGTCTATCTGAATCCACCCGTGAAAGTTCATCAAAAAACAACGTTTTAGCGTCATTAAAGCTTTTCATTTGTATATTGCAAATATATATATGCTTCAGTCTTATTAGAATATGAACGTATTTCGTGCTAAGCACTGTAAGAGAGATCCGTAGTATAAATAAGGATTGAGCAGTCTTTTGAAAATGACAGATTTCACGCTCTTTTTACTCAATGTGAATCATTATTATAAGTAGCAAAGAGAAGATTATAGCACTATAGTTGTTATGGGATCCACAAGGACCCGTAGCTGCATTTTTTCCCCGTTACACCTACTCACGATTCCTCATATGGGTAGTGTATACCAACAAAAGACTAGAGATTAGATGTGAGAATCGATCGGAAACAGAAACTCGTAAGAGAGAATTAAGCAAAAAGCTGCGAGGTGGGTCCTCTTAGACCCCACAACACCAACAGAGGGTTAAAGATCTATTTATAACCAAGAAGTAAGTCATTTATTTATGATTATAAATACTAACTTGATCAGCTTTAACATTTTCGACAGTAAATAAAAACCAACTTCGAAAACGAGGACCACATGTATCAGGTCGAATAAATAAATCATATTCATTATCATTAACATAATCCACTCGACCCAAATTACCTGTTCAAAAATATTTATTAAATATGTAAACAAAAATATCATGCGACATACCACATTCAAATGAAGCATCAAAAATTAAATGACCTTTTTTAGGTTTTCCTTCATAATTTGGTGGAACTATTGCAACTCGTTGTACATTCCCAATTAAATGTTCATTATTAACATCCGAGTCACTATCTATTTTTAATTTAATATTTAATAAAAAATTTAATAACAATTATTTTTACCGGAATTATTATTATTATTACGTTTAGGTGTCGATAATGGAACTGAGTCACCGGTATTTTGTGTTGACATGTTACACTATAGGAAATTAAATGATTTTCATATATTATGTCAGATGTTTACATTCCCATTCCAATCCCTAGAAATGAGCAAGCCATTAATCGATTTCGTTCGTTCATGTTGCTAAGTAATTCTATTTGATAATGTAAGAAAAAATCAAATAAATAAAAATAATGATTTTAATAAATTAAAAAACATTAATAAAAAGGAATTCTATTGTTTTTATTTCTTGATAAACTCTCCAACTTATTGCACCATCTATGTCAATAAAAAAATAATCAAAACTTTTGTCGCTTTTACAAAAAGATAATTAGAAATTGGTTTATAATTATTTTTTTTCTCTATCACAAATTATTTTTTATTTTCACGTATAGTAGAGATTAATTTTTTTTGACTATTGTCACTTTTCCTCCATATAGAAATAATTATTTTTCTTTTCAAAAGAGATACTATACGTATTAAGATGATATCAAGTCGGTCTTTTGAATGAATACATTCATCAAACATAGCCAAATATTACTTCGTGTTATTAGTCTAGACTTTGTCAAGTTATCAACTGTATCTTCTTCTTCTTCTTCGTCTTCCTATATTCTTCTTACTAACAAAACAAAACGTTTCCACAGTACTCATATCAAGTAGGTTTTTTAATTGAATAAAATTTAAATCTGAAAAACTAAAATATTTATTCCATTACAAAAATTCTTGATTTTATTTAAATTAATTTCTATTGTAGATTAAGTATGACTGGTCAAAGTAATCAAGAAACTAAACCATTGTTTGAACGTTTACCACAAACAATTGTACCAACACATTACGATGTAACTATTCAACCGCATCTTGATAAGTTTAAATTTAATGGTGATGTTAATATACATTTAAAAGTTTGTTTTAGTTTTTTATATTTGAATTTAATATTTTATATAATTTTCCTTATGATTAGATTAAAGAACCAACAGATAAAGTTGTACTTTATGCGGACGAATTAGAAGTTGATCATGCCAAAATTAAATCAAGTTCAAATGGTATAATTTTTATATCTTTTTTTTGAAATATTGAGTCAGATATGAAGTTATCAAACATCTTTTTTCATCGACTTATCGACTATATAGTAATCTTAATGAAACCATATAAAAAGTTCTCGAGTGACCTACTTATTTAAATCAACAACTTTTTCAACCGTATTTAGTACTTAAAGCTTGTAAAACGATTCGAGTTCAAACTTCAACCAGATTAAGAATATATAGAGTAAACTATTTGTATCTATTAGAGTTGAAGTTAAAAGAATTGATGAGTCATTAATAGTTCAATCATCTATTGTTTTAAAATTTTATAAGAAAATTACGTTTAACTACATAAAATCTATTTCCTTTTATAGATGAACAAAAAGCTACAATTGATTACGATAAAGAAGGTGAACGTATTACCATCAGTTTCGATAAAAAACTTGAAGTAAATAAAACTACATAAATTATTTTCAAATAACTTACATTTTTTTGATAGAAAGGTGACTATCAATTATTATTGAAATTCGCTGGTGAAATAAACAACCGTATGCGTGGTTTTTATCGAACTAAATATACAGTACCAGATAGTGATGAAATTCGTTATGGAGCTAGTACACAATTCGAACCTGCTGATTGTCGTCGAGCATTTCCATGTTGGGATGAACCAAATTTTAAAGCTACATTTGACATAACATTAATTACACCAAAAAATCTTCGTGCAATTTCAAATATGGTTAGTTGATTAAAAAAAAACAACAATTAAACTTTTAATATTAATTTTTTTTATTCTCTATAGCCAGTTAAATCCGAAAATGAATATGCTGATAATAAAGAATGGAAAGTAACAAAATTTGATCGTACACCAATAATGAGTACATATCTTGTTGCTTTTGTTATTGGTGAATATGATTATCTTGAAACAAATGATTCAAATGGTGTTAGTATGAAAGTTTACACACCAGTTGGAAAGAAAGAACATGGACAATTTGCATTAGATACTGCAGCCAAAGTCCTCCCATTTTATGCTGATTATTTTAATATTAAATATCCAATTGCTAAAGCTGATCAAATTGCTATTGCAGATTTTGCTATGGGTGCTATGGAAAATTGGGGTTTAATAACATATCGTGAAACAGCACTTTTAATTGATCCAAAATTCTCATCAATGGATACAAAACAACGTGTAGCTATTGTTGTTGCTCATGAGCTTGCACATCAATGGTTTGGAAATTTAGTAACTATGGATTGGTGGACTGATTTATGGCTTAATGAAGGATTTGCAACATGGATTGAATATTTAGCTGTTGATAAATGTTATCCAGAATTTGATATTTGGACACAATTTGTTGCTGATACATTTGCACGATTTCTTGTACCCGATGCTTTAAAATCATCACATCCTATTGAAGTACCAATTGGTCATCCAGCTGAAATTGATGAAATTTTTGATGCTATCTCATATTCAAAAGGTTCATCAGTTATTCGTATGTTACATGATTATATTGGTGATGATGCTTTTCGTAAAGGTCTTCATAATTATTTAACTGAATATAGTTATAAAAATACAGTTACTGAAAATCTTTGGTCACATTTAGCTAAAGCATCTGGTAAACCAGTTAATGAAGTTATGTCATCATGGACACTTCAAATGGGTTATCCATTATTAACTGTAACTGAAGAACAAGTAGATAAAAAACGCGTTATTCAAATTACACAAAAACGTTTTATTGCTGATGGTAGTGTTGATGAAGAAAAACTTCAATGGAAAATTCCAATAACAGTATTTACTAAATCAAATCCAAAAAAAATTGCACATCAAGTATTAATGGATAAACCTGAAATAACAATAACATTAGATAATGTTGCTGAAGATGAATGGATAAAATTTAATTTTAATTCTATTGGTCT